AAAGCGCTAAGTTGGCAACACTGCTCTTTGCATGGTTTGTTTTCAAATGGTTTGCTGCTGTCTGTTTGGACCTTTCTGAACATGTGCAGCAAATGGACTGATCCAATATGGTGGACACTGAAGGGGGGGGCTGAGACACATTTAATATTATCAGCGTTCTGATGGCATTTTAGCCAAAGGATTTTAATTACAAACATAATTAATGTGCAAAAATAAGGAATAGTTGTATTAAACATACATGGAAACAGAGTTTTATGGGGCCCCCCAGGAACTTGGGGCCCCATAAAATGTGATGTCAGACTGGTACTCATTACATAATGTCTTTATTCCACATTTTGATGGTAAAACATGAAGATTAAATTCATGTAAAATATGATAGATCAATGAATATCGTTATTAACTGATAAACAATAAATATTCCAACAAATCAATAAATCAGTAAGTTTTATTGAAAAAAACATTTTTCTAGTCAATTATTTTTATTATTAAGATTTATGATATTAGACTTATTTGGTTGATTTTATATTTTATTATTTCAGGATGTTGATCCTTTTTTTCCAAGATTTACTTCATAATATCATTTTTATGAATACCTTATTTTAAGGTATTTTATTCAATTATTTATTTGAAGATATTTGGAATAATGTATTTATTATGTTTAGGATATATTTATTTCAACATTTATTTATTTGATTATTTTTAAATATTTGTTTCTAGATTAAGTTGTTTATTTAATAACTTATTTAATTTAAGATTTTTTGTTATTGCAAGATATTTTTATAGATTCATTTATTAATTTTAATATTTATTTATTTGCAGATTCTTTTATTACAAGATATCTTTCAAGCTGAATGTATTTATTCTAAGATTTATTTTATTTATTTAATAATGGAATGTTATTGTCTCTGATCAGATGATGAGCCGTCTGAGGATGCAGGCAGGGAGACCATCCGGCCCCCCGGCTCCCATTCTTCCTCCTCCCAGGCCGGGAGCCGGGCCTCCCCCAGCCCGGGTCCTCCTACCTTGGACGGTTCCTCCTCCGTCCTCGACCTCCCCCGTCCTTTCTCTGCGTCCCCGTGCTCCGCGGACAGATTGTCAGCAGACCACCTCCTCCACAAGCAGCTCCTCTCCCCACACTTTAAAAAGGAGGGCCTCATGGCTTTCCCCACCGCCCTCTATGCAGCAAAAGTTGCACTGATGTCAGCCTCCCAAGGGTCTGCGGGGGGCAGCGGCGTTGAAGCCGGGCTGCCCAGCGACCAGTCGGAAAGCGGCAGCTCGAGCGCAGGAGACGAGGACCAGCTGGACACGGCGGAGATCGCCTTTCAGGTGAAGGAGCAGCTGCTGAAGCACAACATCGGCCAGCGGGTGTTTGGCCACTACGTGCTGGGCCTCTCCCAGGGCTCGGTGAGCGAAATCCTGGCTAGACCCAAACCCTGGAGGAAACTCACCGTGAAAGGAAAAGAACCTTTCATCAAAATGAAGCAATTCCTCTCCGATGAGCAGAACATTCTGGCCCTTCGGACCATTCAGGTCCGGCAGAGAGGTGAGTGGGAAACAGAAGTGTGGATCAACACAAGGTGCAACAAAATCATGCAAATTAGGACCTAAAGGTTGTCATGTTCGGATTAAGGTGTCTAACCCACATGCAGAACACTCGGAGGCAGAAGAAAAGTTCAGAGATTTATTTACAATAAATGTACAAAGTTTTATCAGATCAGAGAGATTAGTGGAGGTCCGGGTGTTTTGCGGGTTGAGAGTGTTCAGGTCAGTACCTGTTCTTGAGTGGAGCAGAGCAGCAGAGGGGTGGAACCTTGAGGGTCCAGAGGTTGTCGGCAGGCTGAGGGCAGAGGCGGAGGCAGAGCTTACTGAGTGAAGGCAGATCACAGATTGAGTTTTCCTTCCAGTAATCTTCTGAGAGCGGGCAGGCAGATACTTGACAGAGACAGCTCTCCAGGGTTCTACTGAGAACGAGCAGACAGATCACCGGCAGAGAAACTCTCCGGAGTTTCAGGTATTCAGGCAGGATCAACCTGGGAAGCAGAGAGGAGAAAACAGGATCAGGTTTGGCTCACAAAGTCAGAGATCACAGACAGGTAGGTTGGCTCAGGCTTGCTAACCGTTACTGGCAAACACTCTGGCACTGGAGTGAAGCCCTCCGCCTCCTTAAGTACAGATCTCCTGATGAGCAGATGGGAGACAGGTGGTGCGGTCGGCTCAGGCTCCAGGAGATCTCGTACGCCCTCTGGTGGAGAAAGTGGACAAACCTCCAGATCCCAACAAAGGTCTATTTTTAATTGGATTATTTACATCATATTTTATAGAATCCTTTTTCTCTGTATTAACCGCTGAAGGTCTTTAGGGGGGGAGTCGCTTCCATTTCAATTTAGGTCTCTTTTAAATAAAGGGTGGCTCAGTCCGCCTGTTAGAATCAGTGTTCATGCTAACGGCCTGGAACGTCCCCCTCTGACCCGTTATAGCTCTTATTCATCTTCTAATGCTGCGTTCACACCGGGAACATTTTCAGCTGCAAAGCTTCTATTTTACATGCAAAGTCTATGGAGGACGGCGTCACGAGCTACAGCTGATCGTCTAACACTGGAGTTCAGAAAATTGAGCTTTTGCTGCTGGACGCCGGAGCGTCAACCAATCAGAAAAGCTGATCCAGGAGTTTTGTGGAGGCAGACAGACTCAACCTATAAGCTGTCATCGCTTCTGCAGACATTCTGCATAATAAAAATAAATAAATATCAAGGAATTAAACTACAAATGTAAAAAAAAAAAGCTGGAAGAATGGATTGTTATGTAGAAGGAACAGAGAGCGAGATTTGATCATTATTGCTGGACTAAAACATTTTTTTATGAACTATGGAGAAACAGTTTATAAATACCCAAATGAAGGGTATAGAGGATGATCTTTTATTTCTGGGTGGATCATCTAAATAAGCGGTCCTCCTAACTGTCAATCATTGTGGTGATATGTTTACGTAAGGCGGTTCTACGAGCTTGTCTCGTTAGCTATCTTTTTCTGCGCACTTTCAGGCGTATATCTGTGGTGAGCTACGGTTTCAGACAGTCATTGAAGCTCACCTTTCTCACCGTGGTTCTTTGAAAATGGCCGAGGGTCGTAAGAGAAAAAGTGTCTATGAAGTGTATGAGAAGAGGGCAGATATATCCCAGAATGCTTTGCATGGAGAGCTGTCCTTGCAAAGCACTATGGGATTTGCTGTCACAGCGGCCAGCTGTCGCCATAGGCTGTTGCTACATGACAGCAGAGACTAATAACAAAGATGGCGCAGGCACCGCGCCATCTTTGTTATTAGGTTCTGGTATGTTTTCTTTTGAGTTTTAAATTTAACTTTGCTCCATGTTTTCTAGTTTTATTGGTTTGATTCTTATTTCGTTGTGTTTTCTGGTTATATTTCAGTTCTTAGGTTTTTATCTAGCTCCTTAGACTGCGCTTCACACCTGCTCCCAATCTGCTCGTTAGTCCTCTCTTTGTTCAGTTAGCCATAAATACTCTCCTTATGTAGTTCCTCAGTGCTGGTTCCTCATCTTACTTTGTCTAATCTCGTCCTGATTGTTTCCCCCTGATCTCTCTATGGTTCTGGTTTGTTTAACTTTTTTCATGTTGGATCTTTTCAATCCTCAACCAAACTAGCTAAAATTATTTAGCCTTGTTGCTAAGTAATTCTATAAAGCTGTCAATCAGCCGGCCCTGACGACTGTGACGTCAGCGTCGTGGAGGGAGGTGGTGTGCAGATAAAGTTGGTGAAGCAGAGCTGCTCCCCAGGATGGTCCAAGAGAAGCTACTGCACATGGACGACTTTAATACATCACCAATCGGACAACAAACAAAACAGCTTTACTCTTCATTAAAGATTAAATATCTATATTGCACGTCTAAAAAATAGCTTAATATATTTGAAAATCTTTT